GATTTTATCTCTGGTTTACTCTCTGGAGAGAGAACAGGGTAAGAAAAAAAGCAATCAAGCAGGGGATCAGAACTGCAGGAAGAGACACTAAGAGCTGAGCTATGGACTTCCTCAGCCTTAGTGGCTAAGGCTCTGTGCTCCCAATGCAGTGGGCCCGGGTTCAATCCCTGGTCAGGAACTAGATCCCACAGGCAGCAACTAACTGTTCGTACGCCACAACTAACACTGGGTGCAGCCAAATAAATCAATAGATACATTAAAAAAAAAAAAAAAGAACTGAGACAGTTTTCCAGCAGGAAGTAGCAAATTCTTGTGGATACTAATGATCTAGGAGAAACCAAAAAGGGCTACAGGAGATTCTGTTTAAAGTCAATACCCTGAACAAGAGCAAGCTAGAAAGGGCAGGGCCAATGCAGCCATCTGGAATTCCATGTTTTGAGGTATCCGTAACCTAGAGAACTGGGCTTCTTCCCAGTGGCTCAATGTAAAGAATCTGCCTGCCAATGCAGGAGACCCAGAAGATATGGGTTAGATCCTGGGGCTGGGAAGATCCCCGGAGGAGGAAATGGCAACCCACTTCAAGTATTCTTGCCTGGGAAATGTTGTGGACAGAGGAGCCTGGCGGGCTACAGTCCATGGGGTCAAAAAGTCAGATACAACTCAGCACCATGAACACAACCTACAGAACCTGTCAAAGGTGAAACAGTACTGTTTCCAGTTCTATATCCTTCACCGGGGCATCATTCTCCAGTTTGCTTTTCCTTAAAATGGTGGGTCTGACCTTCTGAGGAATCACAGAGTTCCATTTAAGAATCTGACCAAAGCCCTGGAATCCCCTAGAAACCACATCCCCTGGGGGCATTCAAACAAGTTTGCAGTTTCAGGGCACTTGGAAATCCCTTTACAGTTTGATCCATGGGTTCCAGATGTGGTTTTCAAGGCGTCCAGTCCCACAAGGACCACCCTATTATAGCACATCCCACTCTCTCCTGCCATCGAAAATGTTATGATTCTTCCAGTGCCGCTGTCTCAAAGCAGATCATAAAAGGACGCAACAGAGGCTGTCATGCTGGCAGAGCAGGGCAGGCTGCAGTGAGACTCAGGAGCACAGGTTGTGAGTTCCCAGTGGATGTGGTAACCCCACAGCAGTCACAACCTTGTGCTGGACGTGGTCACCTCAGCTGCAAGTGAGGGGCTGGAAGAACCAAGGTGCTGACATCTCACAGCACTGTGTGTGTTTAGTGAATGCTAACTGAGCATCAAGCACACCTTAGGCTAGAGGCAGATGGTGGGGAAACACAGGAAAATGGGGCAGTTCCCAAGGAGCTACAGACAGTTGTAAACAATGAGATTCACATGCTAATAAAACAGCATTCAGAATCAGAGAAGGAGCAAATAGCTTTGCCACAGTGGCAAGTGGTAAAGAATCTGCTTGTCAATGCTCCAGGCGTGGGTTCAATCCCTAGGATGGAAGATCCCCTGGAGAAGAAAATGGCAACCCATTTTTCCTGCCTAGAAAACCCCATGGACAGAGGGGCCTGGTGGGCTACAGCCACAGGATCACAGAGAGTCAGACATGACTGAGCAACTAAACAAAAACAAAATGACTGATGTCTAGTCTTGAAGACATTTTCCAGACAAATAAGGTAGGCAGAGAGTATGTCCAACTTGTCCAGTATGTCCAGACAAAGACCCCAAGGTGTGAAAAAGTGATTCTCAAAGAAATCAAGGAGTTTAATAGGGCAGCAAGCCCTGAGTACTTACATTAAGGCTGGCAGAACATGGAGTAGACACTGCAAGGGAACAGTTTTAGAACAAGACAGCTGTGATTTTTCCTCCACACTGGCTAACAAGGTAAGTACTAGAAGAATAGAGTTCATTTGATATTTTACCTCTAAAAATCAGCTGACTCACAAATGATAAAAACTGCTCTTACTCTGACAATATTTGAACCATGAATTTCTATTGAAGAAAAATGACCAGTCAGTTAAGAGTTCCATAAACTCTGATTAATTACCCGAATTCTTCCTGACCTACCACTTACAAGAAACATTACTCCATAACTTAACTTTTGCCATTTCCCTACAGTTTTACTCTCTTCCCCGAAAGGCTCACAAAATTCCATTCCTTTCCTCTGCCCTTCTAATGCCCCTGCTGATTCACATGGCAATCAGCAGCAAGCAGGGAAAGGCAGAAAGGGATCGTGAACATTTCTCAAAAAGCCAGAATTAACCTTAGATTATATTAATGCTACTAGCTTGTCGCTCAGACCAAATTAGACCTTTCCAGCAATCTCACTTCTGCCAGTCGCACCCGTTCACAGCAAGGCTTTCCACACTGTGCTCCTCTTCCTATCAGCCTCTGCTTCCTGAGGTTTCTGGCTCCAAATTTCATCCATTCTCTCTCTTCAACCTCCAACCTATCTCTTCAGCCTCCCCCGCTTCTTCTGGATCATGTAACCCATCAAGTCACCCTTATGTGGTAGGAGTCAGTGTTCAGCAAACATATATTAAGTGCCCACTAGATGCATAGCCTACAGGAAGCCTGATGAGGCAGTTAACCCAAGCAGCTAAGAGTGAACTCCAATCCAGTCATTCACTCCCAGAAACCTCCCATGTCACAAGTTATGTTGTAAAAGCAACTGTTCAGAGAGGATAAAAAGGAGTAAGTGGCCAGAGTTTCAGACTAAAAATAATACATTCCCTTTTCTTACAGGACTTTGAATAAGGTATAATGTAAAAGTCCTAAAAGCAAGTCTAGCTCTTAGTTCTATTCAGTTTTGGTTTTTTTTTTTGCTCAAGAGCAAAGCCTTTCTTTTCCTAGCCAAATTAGTATTGCCAAAAAAAGCACAACTCTTCTCAAACATTATCATCAACATATACCCACTGCTGTGATCTACAAAACAGAAAGTCCACTGAAACACTTTTTCCTATTCAAACAACAGTGGTTTGCTTAATGGAAAGGCCAATGCCTGGCCTTGAAAGGGGAGGCTAAGGGTACATCCAGGGGATCCCACCCTGCCAGGGAGGGCCAGGAAACCACCCACCTCCTCAAGCAAGTGAGAATCCAGGGATGAGAAGGAGGTAGTTAGGCAAAGGTGGGAAGAAACAGGGAAGAAAAGTTGTGGGCAGGCAAAGAGAACTGTCTCTACAAAGGCCTCAAGAGGACAGACAGCACATTTCAAGGGGCAGAAGAAACCAGTGGAAAAGTGGGAAGACAGACACATGGGGAGGCAAGACCCATGGTCTCAGGAGCTGTGGCAGGGATTTCCAGGTCTCAGGAGTCATGGCAGGAGTTTCCAGTCCACATAGTGAGCAAAAGGAAACCACTGAGGTTTACAGTAGGGAAGTCATACATTCACGCTTTGTTTTAGGCACCATTCCAGCTCTGTCCCCATCTGACTTCTGTTTTCCACTCAAATTGCTCCTTTTAAGGAACCTGTTGATCTTTGAGCCATTAACGCAATGGGCCTCTTGGATTGTGACCTTGGTGCCCCCCACAGCACATGCCTACTGACCATCAGCTCCCTCCACACCCACCACCGATTTACCCCACTCCTAAGGTCATTCCTCTCTAGCCTTTCTTTTTGCAAACTTCCCTTTCTCTACCTGTGTCCTTAAACACTGTTGTCTGTCAAGATTCTGTCCTCGGCCTTCAGCATTTCCAAACCACCTGCATGATTTGTACTGACCTAACTAAAGCTCTTGTCCTTCCCTTAGGAAAAAAAATAAAAATCAAGAGCTTTGACCAACCCACTAAAGGACTCCTAGGCAGAAGTCCATAAAGAGTTTCCTGAACTCCATGCCATTGAATACAATTTTTAGTGGATATAAATGCATTTTTCTGATGAGATGAATTATAGTTCTCATGGAATATTCAAGGGTACTTACTAATGAAAACAAAAAAAGTCAAAAGTGCTTCATCAAAATGTCCAGGTGAATGAAGCTGTAGCAAGCACCACCTCTTCTCAAACCTGGGTTCTGATAAACTGCCTGCAACCTGGGGACAGTCGTCTCTCCTAAAACAAATGTAACTAGAGAAGACACAGCTGGCAGTCTCTCACATAAAGCTTCCTACGAGAATTTGCATTTAAAACTTCATATTACTGGGAAAATCCTTACCAGTATTCTTTGCAGTTAGTACCCAATTCTAACGCACGATGACCCACGTGGATCAGGGTATTTATTACACGTCCTGCTAACGTGCTCAAGAAGAAAACGTTACATTACGAACATAATGACAAGAGGAACTGTCATCTAATTAAACGGGAAGGGGAAAAACCCGGGAGCAACTGGATTTACAGGAAAGCCCTTTTTGTCGTCTGACTGTACAGAGAACGACCTGAAGAGCCAGAACAGCATTTACCTCACACCACTCACTGTAATCCTGGGAATAACATGCAATGATTAGCAGGAGGGAGCGGACAACTAGATCATGTTAAGACATAAAACGAAGTTCTACTCGCACAGGAAAGGTCCGTGGTTGAGTCGGGAGACCGTCCCAGGGCACGTCTCCCGAGACCAGAAATCACGCCAGGCGCCCGCGTTGGCATAGCCGCCTCACGACGTGCGGAGATCCGACCCCGCCGGCCCGGCCCGGGGTCGCGGCAGCCCCTCGGCGCCTCCCTCGACTCACCGAGCTCCTTCCGGAAAGCTCTGAGGGGGCGACCGCGAGCCAAGGGCGCTCAGGCAGCCGCGAGCCGGCCGCCTAGCCACGGTCCCGCGACCCTCCCAAGACCCCCGACCCTCAGCCGCCCCCTGCCCTGTCCCGGCCACGCCCACACCCGCCACCAGCACCGCCCCTTGGAGCCCACTGCGCCTGCGCGCACGCGGCCTCCCCACCACCCCCCCAACCCGAGCGCCGAAGCGCAGCGGCCCCGGGCGGCGCACGCGCGCCGCCACTTCCGCCCCAACGGGAGGCGGGGGAGGTGGCGGGCGGCTGCGGGCGCGAGCCCGGTACTCTGAGGGGGACGGCGGCGGCTCTGCGAGCCCGCCACTCACCAGGTACAGCTGCTGCCAGCGATTCTGAGCGTCTAACTCCTCAAACTCCCGTTCGATAGCAGCCGACATGGCGGCGGGAGCGAGCTGTCGCGAGGGAGCCTGCGCCGGCGGAGAGGCTCAGGCCCCGCACGATCCGGGCAGCGCGCAACCGCTGCCGCGCATGCGCGCTCCACGCCTGCCCCGCCCCGCCTCCACGCCGACCCGGCCGCGGGGAAAGTACCTGGTGCGTGACGTCAGCGCGCCGTCTGCGCTGCGCGGGGCGGGGCGCCGCGGGAGGCGTGGTCCAGGCGGTGTCCAGGTGGAGGGGGCGGGGCCGGGCGGAGCGGGGAGGCTGGGCTTCAGGGAGAGTTGCCCGTTGAGCGCCTTGGGGTTTGAATTTTATTTTGAACATCATCTAGGTCAGTTTAGCGGCATGTGCCCCACTTTCTTCTCTAGGATAATGTAAACCGGGACTGATGCCTGCGCCTGGCCGCCCGCGGGTTTTGTGCCAAATAAACCGCTGTTGCACTAGCAGAGACAACGTCCTGGAGATTGGAGACGACAGCTTGCTAAGTAAACGTTATACAGCTTAAAATTTAGTGTTACCTTTGTTGTTCAGTCGCTCAGTCGTCTCCGGCTTCTTGCGACCCATGGACTGCAGAACGCCAGGCTTCCCTGTTCTTCCCCATATCCCAGAGTTTTCTAAAACTCAGTCCATCGAGTCAGTGATGCCATCCAACCATCTCATCCTCTGTCCTCTTCTGGCTTGCTTCAATCTCTCCCAGTGTCAGGGTCTTTTTCAATGAGGGCTCTTCTCATCAGGTGGCCAAAGTATTGGAGCTTCAGCATCAGCCCTTCCAATGAATATTCAGGGTTGATTTCCTTTAGGATTGACTTGTTTGATCTTCTTGCAGTCCAGGGGACTCTCAAGAGTCTTCTCAAGCACCACAGTTCGAAGGTATCAGTTCTTCAGCGCTCAGCCTTTTTTATTGTTCAGCTCTCACATCAGTACATGACTACTGGAAAAACCGTAGCTTTGACTATACAGATTTTTGTTACCTGTAAAAAGAACAAATCATCTGATAACAAACAAACATGCTGATTATGGAAATCATCTCCCTTTACAGTAAGATAATTCATTATAGGGAAACTTGTGTTCTTAGAATATCTTATCATCTTCAGTAGAAATGTGATGTGTTAGAAAAATTTAGCTGTGCTGTCCAACACTGAAATTTAAACTTTAATTAAAATTAAATGAAATAGCAAAGATTCTCTTCTTGACCAAACTCTACTCAAGAGTCTCTGAGCTCTTTTTCAGCTAGGTCTTGAGTTTTGGACTTTCCTGTTTCTCTCTGCATTGGCAAATTTTTGCAAGAATCCTGCTGAGTCAGTTAGCCAGAAGCCCCCATTCTCAGTATCTGATCACTCTTGTTATTTAATCAGGTTCCTCATCTTTGCATCCGCTGAGTGACATCTGATCTCCCAGCCCTGCCTTTACCTAGAATCCTATTAGATCGGCTCACCCAGAACCCCCTGTGCTGCCTCTGTTAAAAACAGGACTACAGGCCCAAAAGGAAGTTGATGGAAAGCCCCATGTCACCAATCTAGATTTGATGATAGTTTTAGCTTTCCCAGAAATGGGATTTAAAGGAGTAAATCAAGATTCACTAATCACCACTAGGCAGGTGATCTGCTAGATAGACTTCCCTCGACCTTGTAGTAACCAGTTGCTTCTCTGCCTGGAATAACTCCCTTGTTCCAGCTCCCTTCTGCCTGTAAGTCATTTATTTTGGGTAGCTCCTTGGAGCTTCTGTGCATCTGCCCAATACATGAATCATTTAATAAAGCCAATAAAATCTTTAAATTTTACTCAGTTGAATTTTGTTTTTTAACACCTCTTAGTAATTTTCCATCTACTGACACCCCGCTTGACTATAAATTCCCAGTTCCTATTCAGAATTTGGAGTTGAACCCCATCCCTCCCCCACTACAAGACCCATTGCAGTGGCCCCTATACCTGTCACAGTAGTCCCCCCACACACAGCTGGAATAAAGTCTTCCTTTTACCTCATCATCTTCTACAAGTGACAGGCATACATTTTTTCTCTAGCAGAAATTGAGAATTCAGTTTCTCAGTTGAATTAGCCACATTTCAAATCTCAGTAGCCACACAGGCTAGTGGCTAGAGGATTGCAGAGCACACAAACCATCGAAATTCTGTGGAACAGAGCTACCTGAGAGGTTTGAAATACTTCATTATTTTAAAGCGTCCTTGACGTTGACATTTAGTCACTCAGTCCTGTCTTTGCAACCCCATGGACTGTAGCCCTCCAGGCTCCTCTGTTCACGGAGATTCTCCAGGCTAGAATGCTGGAGTGGGTTGCCATGCTCTCCTCCAGGGGATTTTCAGGAGTCCAGGAGCCTGACTTGTCTGGTGAAGTGACTTGAGGGTCCACAGATGTTAAAGAATGCTGAAGCAACCTGGTGGCTCAGTGGTAAAGAACTACCTGAAAGGTCTAAAATACTTGGGTACTTTAAAGTGTCCTTACACAAGTAAGATAATGAAAACACTGGTCAGAGAAAACCAGCAAGCTGTTGGACCAAGAAGAAACTGTAACACAGAACATTAAGCAGCCAATAAGCCCTTACAGAATATAACTGAGGAATATATACACTCTCCCTCCAGAAATGCCCCACAATGTAAGTGTCCTGGTTTCTGAAGTTCCATCCTTCAAATTGACTAAATTAAAGGCATAATATCTCCTGGATTCCCCATGGCTTTTGGGGTCAAACAGCTCATCAAATCTTGACCTCACAGCAGCAGTTCTCGTCACCAGATCCACATGGTCCCTCAGGAACTCCGGCAAACACTGGCTGGGGGTGCAGTGCTTGCCCTCTGTGGGTCTGCCCTCATTTGCTGCGTGCAGCTAGGATTCTAAGGCAGCAAGCAGTTCTCACACCAGCAGCATCTGCATCAACGGTGAGCAACAAAATGAACAGAGATGAGCTACATTCCCTACATGGTTCCATCCACCTCATTCCATGGAGGAGACAGCTTGCCCTGGACCCTCAGCCTCCCTAGAGAGGCTCAGCGTGGCCTCCACTGGCTGCTGGTTCTAATGGCATCTTCAGTGGTGAGACACATGGCGGGTGCAGAGGGCAGAGGAGGAAGTGAGCAGAGAGGGAAGCACGGTAGTGGGACAATTACTGCTTAGGAGACAATTAGGAGGCATTTTTATGACCACCCAAATTTGAGAAGAAGGAGCAATGTCTACAAAGGATTTCAGGGAATGTTTCTGGGGTCTATCCTGTGAAAACTCCTGGAAGAAAACTTGAAGAAAACTGATAAGAAAGATGTAAAGTATTTTTCAAAGCTTATGCAGTTGGATTTTCATTTCTTTTGAATGAAACTTCTTGTAGACAGGAGTCCAGGAGCCTGACTTGTATAGTGAAGTGGCTTGAGGGTCTACAGATGTTAAATAATTTTAAAGCAGCCTGGTGGCTCAGTGGTGAAGAACCCACCTGCAGTGCCGAAGACACAAGTTCAATCCCTGGATCAGAAGATCCTCTGGAGAAGGAAAAAGCAACCCACTCCAATATTCTTGCCTGGAAAATTACATGGACAGAGGAGCCTGGCCGGCTACAGTCCAAAGGGCCACAAAAGAGTCAGACACAACTTACTGATTAAACAAAAACCATCTGGTAAAGCTTTTCAAACTCAGTCAAATCTGGATTCAAGACCTTATTTTTGGGCTTCCTTGGTGGCTCAGTGGTAAAGAATCTGCCTGCCAATGCAGAAGACATGGGTTTGATCCCTAATCCAGGAAGATCCCACGTGCTGCCAGAACAACTAAAACCGTGCCACAGAACCCTTGATCTTGTGCTCTAGAGTTCCTTATTAGACCAGGAGCTGCAACTACTGAGGCTGTGCGCCTAGAGCCCATGCTCCACAAGAGAAGCCAGCACAAGGGGAAGCGCTTGCACCACAACTAGAGAAAAGCCTGCACAGCAACAAAGACCCAGCACAGCTAAAAATAAGTAAATAAATGAAAAGACCTTAGTGTTGAGACCTGGTTTTCTACCTACTTTCTGTCTCCTGTCTCCCATTCCCTGAAGCCGGAAACCTGGACTCAGGTAGACATGGACTTTGTAGACATTGCTCCTTCTTCTCAAATTTCAGTGGTCATAAAAATACCTCCTAATTGTCTCCTAAGCAGTAATTGTCCCACCACCATGCTTCCCATCACCCTCACTGTCTCCCCATCCTTTCTCTTCTGTGTCTAACAGTTCACCTGCTTCTGTTGATTCTTCCTTAAGGAACCTCTCTGCACTCCAGTCTGTCCCCACTGCCACTGCCTTAGTTCAGGTTTCATCATCTTCCTGCCTTGTCTCTTGTCCCATCCAATTGTGGGATGTTCTATTTGGGAATCCCAAGTTCAGCATGGTACCTGGTACACGGTAGATGAAAAATAAATGTGACTAAATGGATCTTTGTTGGACATTTAGCTTGTTCCAGATTTTCCCATCATGTGAAAACGCTGCAATATCCTTTTTGGATACAACTCCTCCCTCTTTTTTAAGGCATATTTCTGTTGGGTAAATACTCAGAATTGGAATTATTGGGTAGAAAGGAATGACTCTTACTCCATTCGATTTTCCCAAAAGCGAGCCCTGGGAGGGAGATTTGAGTGCAAGTATGTTCCACAGTGGGTGACACCAGGAACCCTGGTGAAGGACACTGGAAGGGAGGCAGGAACAGGAAGCAAGGAAGGAAGCAGTGAAAGGTTTGTTGACAGCCCGCCACCACTGTAGGCATCCGGGCCTGGTCCCACTGGAGAACTCTGAGAGTTCCAGAACTACTGCTGAGTTATCCAGACTGAAGGGTGAGGAGGTTAGGGTGTTAACTGCCAACTCCCCATGTGTCATGAGCTGAAGAAGCTTCTAGAGGTTCTCATCGGAGTGCATGTGGCCCTGCTGTGGACTACATAGGCATCTGCTTCCCCCCACATCTGTATGTTGAGATGGAGGTTGGTCCTTTGGGAGATGATTCATCATGATGGTGAAGCCTCATTAGAAGAACCCCCAGCAGGTTCTGCTGCTGTCTTTCTTCACATGGGGTGGGGGGGGGTGCGGCAAGAAGACAAAAGATGCACAACTATGCGCCAGGATGCTGGTTCTCATCAGACACTACCTCTGCTGGCATTTGATCTTGAACTTCTCAGCTTCTAGAACTGTGAGAAATAAACATTTGGGCTACGCTGTCTATGGGATTTTGGTTCTGGCAGCCCAAATGGATGGTTCCCAAATAGCATCTGAGAGTCCAGGTTCTTTGGGACCTCTCTATCATGCCCCGTGGAGTGCTAAGTGTCTTGCTAGACTCACCTGAAGAGCTGTTCCACGATGATGCTTCTACTTCGCCAGATTCCCCACCACCACCACGCGTTACCTCCTGACCGCTCTCAGTGCTGCTTTAGTTGAGAAAACAGGTCACACTCCAGGAAGAAAGCTTATACAATCAAAAGACTCGTAGGGCTTGGCTCACAGGCACTGAATGGAAGAAGGAAATGGGCAGTTGTAAATCTTAAGGTGTTGAGT